TCATCTAATAAATGTTGTCATTTGAAAGATGAGAAACTACCAAGCACAGTGGCACACACCTGTAATCCCAGCTACTTGGGAGGCTGAAGCAGGAAGATTGCTTGAGGCTAGGAGTTTGAGATCAGCCTGGGAAACATAGCAACACCCCGTCTCTACAAAAAATTTAAAAATCAGCTGTGTATGGTGGTGTACAAGCTAGTTCCAGCTACTCAGGAGGCTGAGTCAGGAGGATCACTTCAGCCCAATACTTAAAGGCTGCATGCAGTGAGACATGATCATGCCACTGTACTCTATCCTACGCAACAGAGTGAGACCCTGTCTCTAAAAAAATAAAAAGGAGAGAAACACAAAGAAGCTCATTGATAGACCCAGAATTATATAGCTAGCTTTAGATAAGACCAAGTCAATCTAGAACCCTTGTCTCCTGAACCCTAGTCCAGTGCTTTCTGCACACACTGGGTATCAGGTAATACACCCAGTCTTTCTCCTGCCTTTAATGCTATGATCTAGAATTACCTGACAAAAAAGTTTAAAAATGAAACTAATTCACCCCAAGGCAGTATGGGAGATACAGAGGCAACAACCCTACCACCACTTCATCCTCTGTATTTTATAAATGTTTTCATATTTAAAGAATCTCTAGTTCTTTTATTTTATTTTTTTTTTTTGAGACAGACTCTCACTCTTGCCCCGGCTAGAGTGCTGTGGTGTCATCCTAGCTCATAGCAACCTCAAACTCCTGGGCTCAAGCAATCCTCTTGCCTCAGCCTCCCGAGTAGTTGGGACTACAGGCATGCACCACCATGCCTGGCTAATTTTTTTCTATATATATTAGTTGGCCAATTAATTTCTTTCTATTTATAGTAGAGACGGGGGTCTCACTATTGCTCAGGCTGGTTTCGAACTCCAGATCTTGCACCCACCTCGGCCTCCCAGAGTGCTAGGATTACAGGCGTGAGCCACCGCACCCGACCCTCTATTTAGTTCTTAAGTTTATATTCTTTCCACTGTATTATTTGTACTTATGCCATGGGAATTTAGTAAGAAAGTAGACTTGTGGGTCCACCAGTTAGTTCCTTTAGATTGGATGCAGGTAGGAATATTTAGGGGGTGGGCAGAGTTTTGATTTATGACAGTATTATTAAGGGCCCAGTAAATGTTAGAATAGTGCCTGGCACATATAGTATGCTCCATATGTGTTGTCTCATTTAATTCTTACAGTCCCATTCTTTTCTCTGTTTTATAATTGAGGAAACTGAGGCACAGAGAGTTTAAGGAACTTGCCCCAGATCACAGAGCTAGTTAGGTGTGGAGCTGGGATACGAACCAAAGCACCCTGATCAGAATCTGAGCTCTTAGCTGCCACACTGCTCTGTCTGCTGAAAGAAACCTGGTGACCAGCTTGTAGGTTCCTGGCTCAGGAACAAGTAGCAGGCCTGGGGAGCTCATAGGGACACCGGGAGTCAGAGGGGGTTCCCATTGGAGGAGAAGATGCCAGACTCTGGAAGGGAAGTTGGAGCAAGCCTAGCTGTTGACACTTCCTTCTACAGCTCTAAATTGCCCTTGAGACAGAGCTTAGGAGGTAGGAGAATTTGACCTATAGGAGAGGCTACCTATCAGTTGCAGTGTTGAGATGTGGCCACCAGGAGGCAGCAGAAAGTTGGGCTGGTAGCAGGAGAGGGGCTGGGGAGCCCACCTCTCATCCTGACCTTTGTACTTAAGGGCTCACTCGCTTTGACCTGCTGGGTGACTTTGGACGCTTCAACTGGCTGGGCAATTTCTACATCGTGTTCCTCTACAACGCAGCCTTTGCAGGCCTCACCACGCTGTGTCTGGTGAAGACCTTCACCGCAGCTGTGCGGGCAGAGCTGATCCGAGCCTTTGGTGAGAAGTGAGGGTGCAGGCTAGTGGGATGCTTGTAAGATGGGGTGCTCTGGATCACTGGTCATTCCAGCAGCGGAGAGGGTGTGCTTCCTGCTTTATGTGTAACATACCTCACCCACCCATTCTGTGGCTTGGCTGTCGTATGCCTGGGGGACTGGACCTATGCCCTGCTTTTGACTGTCCACTTCCCCCTCTTCTGTAGGGTTGGACAGACTGCCGCTGCCTGTCTCTGGTTTCCCCCGGGCATCTAGGAAGACCCAGCACCAGTGACCTCCAGCTGGGGATGGGAGGGAGAAAACTGGACACTGCCATCTGCTGCCTAGGCCTGGAGAGGAGCCTGAAAGTAGTTGGGCCTCAGGACCAGGAGTCTGAGAGGGTGGATGGCAGAGGGGAGCTGAGCCATCTGCACTGTTGCATAATCTGAGCCAGAGTTTGGGACCAGGCCCCCCAGCTTTTCAAGACTCAGCATGGGGCAGGGCTGGGTGAGTGGGTCTAGCTCCTGGTCCCAAATCCGTTTACACATCAATCTGCCTCACTGCTGTTCCGGGCCATGCCCGTAGCCATGTTTACATGATTTGATGTGCAATAGGGTAGGGGAGGGGAGGGACTGGGCCAGGGCAGGCCAGGAGGCAGGTTGTCTCCCTTGCCTCTGGCCCAGCAGAGCCGAAGCACTGTGCTATCCTGGAGGGGCTTTGGACCACCGGAAAGAGTAAGGGCATAGGGAAAAGGAGGCTACACGCATCAGCAATAAAGTTGATCTCAGAGTTTGCTTTGTTTTTTTAAAAAGCCTGTCTCTGTGTCTATTTGAACAGCCTTGCTCCCACCATCCTTTTCTTTCCCTTTCTCTGCTTTCTTAGTATCCTTTAGGGACTTGGATCTGGTGTTAGGCCATATAATTGAGCAGTAGGAAACTCCTCCTTCCTTAGCCTTGCTTACTTAAAGCAGCTGGTGCACTGATCTCTTCCTTATACCAATGGCCTTGTCCTTGTTTCTTTTTCTGTCTTTTTTTTTTTTTTTTTTTGAGACAGGGTCTTGCTCTGTCCCCAGCTAAAGTGCAATGGTGTCATTATAGCTCACTGCAACCTTAAACTCCTAGGCTCAAGCCATTCTTCTGCCTCAGCCTCCTGAATAGCTGGGCCTACAGGCACTCACCACCACACCGGGCTAATTTTTTCTGTTTTTGGTAAAGACAAAGTTTCATTCTTGCTCATACTGGTCTGGACCGCATGACCTCAAACAACCCTCCCACCTCAGCTTCCCAAAGTGCTGGGATTACAGGTGTGAGCCACTGTGCCCAGCCTATGGCCTTGTTTCTGTACCTTGAGTATTGTGCATAGGACATGGGCATAGGAATAGGATAACCTCCCCTGTACACTCGTGCCTTCAGCCTTGTCCCTCCTGACTTGGATAAAGAGTAAAAGTGGCTGTCTGACAAGGGTTTTGATTCCTATATCATCTTTCCAGGAGCTATCAGTTCCTTGAATAGCCCCCTTGCTATGTTGGAATAGGGCAAAATTTATACTTAGGGTTGTACAGATTGTGCATTGCACAACTTCTATAGGCACCATTTGCCTCAGAGTCATCATATGGATAGTTACTATGACAATTTTGTCATAAATGGCAGATGTCTTGAAGGGATGCTTTTTTTCTATTTTACACAAAGTTGCTGTGAGAGTAGGGTGAGGGGAGCGTAAGTATGGAATACAAAAATGTGTAGAATCCACAAATACTTGCAGAGCACCCTACTGTTGACTAGGCATTTAGCCTTGGTAATACATGATAAACAAGATTGTACTTAAGAATTGCTTTGTCTCAGCTGGTTGAAGGCAGGTGAAAATAAAAAAAAAAAAAAAAAAAAAAAGCTTTGTCTAGTAGGGGTGCCAGATAATTCTAATATTGTACCATCACCAGCAGTTAATCACTACTTTTCAAGGGAACACAGGTTGGTGGTATTGGGACATCAGAGAAGGCTTCTTAGAAGTGATTTCTTTTTTTTTTTTTTGAGACAGAGTCTCGCTTTGTTGCCCAGGCTAGAGTGAGTGCCATGGCCTCTGCCTAGCTCATAGCAACCTCAAACTCCTGGGCTCAAGCAATCCTCCTGCCTCAGCCTCCCGAGTAGCTGGGACTACAGGCATGCGCCACCATGCCCAGCTGATTTTTTCTATATATATATTAGTTGGCCAATTAATTTCTATTTATAGTAGAGATGGGGGGTCTCACTCTTGCTCAGGCTGGTTTTGAACTCCTGACCTCGAGCAATCCGCCTTCCTCGGCCTCCCAGAGTGCTAGGATTACAGGCGTGAGCCACTGCGCCGGCCTTAGAAGTGATTTCTAAATGACAAATTGGTAGGTGAAGTGCCTGAGGTGAGATCTGAGTGGCTGAGTGTAGAGCCCTTGGGAGTCCAGAAAGGGAGGATAGATATGTGCCTAAATGAACGCTAAGGGAGGTGACCCTTAACCTTTTACAGACTAAGTGCCCACTGCCCTTTAGCAGCTTCCTATTGACAAGTTATTCATTTGAAAAGAAGCAGCTGTTGGATGCCTGGCAAAGAAAAAAAGGGACAAAAATTGGACGTCCTAATCCGCACTATAAGTACCAATCTTGTCCCTTGGTCTGAGGAAGTTCCTAGTGGAGGGCTGTAAAGTTACCAGGGAAAATGGACCCCTGCTATCCACACCTCCCAGTCCTGGTTGCTACTGAGTGTGAGGAGAGATGAGAGTGGGGGAAGTTTGGGGAGAACCACAGATAAGGGGAGGCTCTAGTTGTATTTTCAAAAGGCTTGGCTGGCCTTGGGCAGAAATTGGAACCCACACTTTCTGGATGACAGCAGAGGGCATGGCCTGCCAGGGTAGACTTTGGGAGAGCAAAGACCCAATTCAAGAAACAGGAGAGTGGTTTGGTTCCAAGTTTAGGCTTGGAGGTAGAAGGATGCTTATCCAGGCAGCCAAGGACTGTAAAGCTACAAGGGTTTCCTAGGCAGTTGCCTGCCTCGTTTCCAGGATGGGACATACTTTAGTCGCGAAAAGGACCAGCGGTGACCTGCTAGATCCCCCGCCCGGGTGGGAGGGGGCGGGACGGTCCTGGGAGATGGGCGGGGGGCGGGGCCAGGGGCCACTTAAGGCGGAGTTCGGGCGTTCTGACAGCACCAGAGCAGGGCAGCAGAGAAGGGCTGGGCTGGCACTCACACACGACCCCCCTTTCCTGCTATGATGGTCCGTCAGTAGCAGGTTCCAGACCCCCCTGGGGACATGTAGGCAGAGCTAGCAGCAGCCAGGTGCGCAGAGCCACGAGAGCTCTAGGGCACTCTGGGGGCAGCTCTGCCTGCTGCGCCTTTCTGGTGCCTGTGGAGATGCCCAACTGACAGGCGAGTTAGTGAGAACAACGGTCCCTTTTGGCCCCAATCCGTTGTACCCATGGCGCTGCCGGCCAGTCTGCTGCCCCTGTGCTGCTTGGCACTTCTGGCGCTGCCGGCCCAGAGCTGCGGGCCAGGCCGAGGGCCGGTTGGCCGGCGCCGCTATGTGCGCAAGCAGCTCGTGCCGCTGCTCTACAAGCAATTTGTCCCCAGTGTGCCCGAGCGGACCCTGGGCGCCAGTGGGCCGGCCGAGGGGAGGGTAGCAAGGGGCTCCGAGCGCTTCCGGGACCTTGTGCCCAACTACAACCCAGACATCATCTTCAAGGATGAGGAGAACAGTGGCGCCGACCGCCTGATGACCGAGGTAAGGAGGGCTTCTCTCCACCTGCGCCAGGGCACCGCCAACTCCTCCGTTTTCCTGCGGCAGCCCAGGAGAGCGAGACGGGCTCCGTCCACAGACACCTTAGTCTTAAAGACCTCCCCGCCCCTGCCCTGTCACCTCCCTCCAAAAAAAGGGGTGGGTTGGACCTGCTGGTGGGACAGAGTGGTTAGGAAGGATCCCAACTGGGAGAAGCTGGGATGGAGAGGGGGAGGAGGGGCTGACTAGCGAGAGTGAAGCTGGGAGAGGCAGCCAGGGCGGGGAAAGGAGGGGAGGATGGCGGCAGGCGAGACGGGAAATGGCTGAGGCGTGGACCGGGGGTCAGCCACCCAGCCAGGCAGGAAGGGCTGGGGTGAGCTGGGGGCCAGGAACTAGCTAGGCAGCAGACAGAAGGGTCTACCTTTAGCCTGGCTCCTGACCTGATTGTGGAAAATCTCTGTGGTGGGCCAAAGAGAGAAGAGACTGAAGGGGGCTGGGAAAGGGGTGGCCATGGGTCAGGTCACCAGACCATCTACCCAAGGAAGGGCTGGGCAGGAATTGTCTTTGGTACAGGAAAGGTGTCCTAGAACTAGGGCAGGGCTATTCTAGGGTCTAAAGGACAGTCCTGGGGTAAAAAGCAGTCCTCAGTGAGAACAGATGGGCCCACCTGAGAATCAGAGGACTCCCAGGTCCCCCAAACTCAGCTCAGCTGAGGAGCTTTCCTTGGTATTAAAGAATTCAATAAATTCAACAACCACAATTGAGCATCTGCTGTAGTCTGGAAATGAAACAATTTAAGGTGAGGTTAGCAATGCCTTGAAAGAGAAGGACCACCTCTGTCCAGTGATCTTGAATGTTAAAATTGAAAGAAAACTTGGAGGTCACATTCTTCCACCCAACTCCACCCCATTTTACATCTGAGAGCTGGGCTTTTCCCAGGAGGAAAAGCAATTTAATCAAAGTCTCGCAACTAATTAGTGGCATGGCTGGGACTAAAATTCAGGACTCCTGATTCAAAGCCCAATATACTTTCCATTACACCACCTAATTGTGTATGGAGTGGGGAGGTGGGGAGAGAGGGAGGGGTACGGATTTCCTCTGATTAATCGTCATAGTTTTCCAGGTTATTTTGTAAGGAAAACCTGTCTAGGGGAGAAAGAATTTCTTTTTGCTCCTGCTCTGAAGCCTTACTCCTACCAGAGTTTGGGAAGGGGACATTCCTTCCTTCCTCCGTGGTCATGGAACATAGTGGTTCTTCCCTCTGGCTGCCACCTGCAGCAGAGGGGGCGGAACAAGGGACAGGCTCAGGAGGGGCTCTGACAGGCCTGGGAACCCCCTCAGCACTGCTTATCTCCCACACCCTGGCTGCAAAAGGCCTCCATTGAGTTGGCTCTGCACTGGGCCGCTGCCCCCGCAGGTCAGGGCCTCAGGGCCTCCTTAGGGGACAAAACGACAAGAAGTTGGAAGGAGCTACCACTTTTCCTGTTCTGCCTCCTCCCCCCCCCCCAATCCTGCGGAGGTTGAGAGGACTAGAGAAGAAGGGCAAGGGGAAAGTGTCCCTCTGGCAGTTAGGGGAAAATCAAGTCCGGAGTAAGAGGTGTGAGGGGGAAGAAGAAAAGGAAGCTGTCCTCTTGGTGCCTCCTCCCGCGGTGTTCGTGCTATGGTGCGAGCCAAGGTCTCCAGCTCCCAGACTGGAGCGGCCAAGATAACTGTGGTCTCACTCCCCCGGGTGCAGGCTTCAGCCGCTGCTTCTTTTCCTTGTCTCCACTCCCACCCTGCAGGGGGCCCCCCAGATCCGCGCATGGTCAGCTCCCGTTATCCTCAGGTGCTACTCCCACGCCTTTCTGGCTGCATCTGGAACAGAGATGGAGAGAGCCTTAGCTGGAACTGGGAGGACTGGCCGCGCTGGGGGAGGGGACCTAGCGGGCGGGAGCAGGGATGTGGGGCGCGGCTTTCTGCCCTTTCCTCTCCCTGAGCCGGGGCGGCTGAAAAGCGCCTTTGTGGCTGGAGCTGCTGAGTCCGCTTCTCCCGGCCCGTCCCCGGCCTCGGCCCGGGATTCTCGCTCGGTTAAGTCATTCCGGAGAATAGCCATTGTACTTCGCGCAGCCCCCGCCACCCCTACCCTTTTTCCAGTAGCCTTGATTTCGCACAGCTCCTCTTGGGCACCTCTGTGGGGGGTACCCAGATCACGAAGGGGTTAATGCTAGGGGCCGAAAGGAGGAGGAGGAAGGAAGGAAGGAAGCGATGCCCAGTGCCAGGGAAGGCAACGAAACAAAAGATGAATCAGGCGGAGGGAGGGCAGCCGGGGCCTGGGGCGGGGGCCGGGCTCGAACTGGGGCTGCTCTCCAGAAGCGACCCCCACCCCCAACAACCATGCTTCCAACCGCTGGCTCAACTCTGGCCCTCTCCCAGGATACGTTGAGGTCCCAGAACCATTAGGAATGAGGGGCGGTCATTAAAAATGGGGAAAGAGCTAGCTTGGTATGGGTGCCCCTCTCAGCCTCAGAGGTGACCCCACAGTTCTCCAACGACACGGTGGGAAGACAGTGCAGATTGGCGACTACACCTATTCCGATTCTCACTTCCCCAGGGCACTCAAATGCTGGGAGGGAGAGGAGTGGGGCTTGGTTGACAAAGAAGAATCAACCCTCCTATGAAGGTCCCTTTTGCCCTGATGGCGTTGGTAGTCGTGATGGGGAGACTGACTCCTTTATTCCCCGCCAGCGTTGTAAGGAGCGGGTGAACGCGCTGGCTATTGCAGTGATGAACATGTGGCCCGGAGTGCGCCTGCGGGTGACCGAGGGCTGGGACGAGGACGGCCACCATGCTCAGGACTCACTCCACTACGAAGGCCGTGCCTTAGACATCACCACGTCCGACCGCGACCGCAATAAGTATGGGTTGCTAGCGCGCCTAGCAGTGGAAGCCGGCTTCGACTGGGTCTACTACGAGTCCCGCAACCACGTCCACGTGTCGGTCAAAGCTGGTACAGTAGGGGGCGGGTGGTAAGGTCTGCCCAAAAGGGGCTCCCTCCGGGAAACCGAGTCTGCAGTAGCCCTGTTGCCACCCTAGGGGAGACCAAGCGGGTGTTAACTGTTGTAAACCACTCTTCCATTCCTACCCAGGTTGGGAAATTGCGTTGTCCAGAACTGGTGAGGTCTGCCTGGGCTTGACTCACGTCTTTGAGAATCTATACCAACATTCTGGAACCGCTGATTTCGATTCAATCTTCCCTATGGTTGTTCCCTACAGATAACTCACTGGCAGTGCGGGCGGGCGGCTGCTTTCCGGGAAATGCCACTGTGCGCCTGCGGAGCGGCGAGCGGAAGGGGCTGCGGGAACTGCACCGCGGAGACTGGGTGCTGGCGGCGGATGCGGCAGGCCGGGTGGTGCCCACGCCGGTGTTGCTCTTTCTGGACCGGGACTTGCAGCGCCGGGCCTCGTTTGTGGCTGTAGAGACCGAGTGGCCCCCTCGCAAACTGTTGCTCACTCCCTGGCACCTGGTGTTTGCCGCTCGAGGGCCGGCGCCTGCGCCAGGCGACTTTGCACCGGTGTTCGCGCGCCGGCTACGCGCTGGGGATTCGGTGCTGGCGCCTGGCGGGGATGCACTTCGGCCGGCGCGCGTGGCCCGCGTAGCGCGGGAGGAAGCCGTAGGCGTGTTCGCGCCGCTCACCGCGCACGGGACGCTGCTGGTCAACGATGTTCTGGCCTCATGCTACGCGGTTCTAGAGAGTCACCAGTGGGCACACCGCGCCTTTGCTCCTTTGCGCCTGCTGCATGCACTGGGGGCTTTTCTCCCTGGCGGGGCTGTCCAGCCGACTGGCATGCATTGGTACTCTCGGCTCCTCTATCGTTTGGCGGAGGAGCTGCTCGGCTGAGCGCCCCAGGCATAGAAACCTTAAGGCGCCCAACGAAACCGGGCATGCTGGCTGAGATCTGGGGTTGCGGGCAGCAGATGATACTGATTGGGAGAGGGAGGGAGGGAGGGATAGGGAGAAAAATGGGGCTCTATGGGAACTGTCTGGTTTAGGGGCAACTTCGAACTGAGAGGAGATGTTCCCGGTCCTAGGTAGGTGGGGATGATGGTGGGCACTCCTTGACAAGGACTATATAGCCTCTTCCCCAGTGCCTCAACCCCACCCAATAATTTTATTTTCTATTTATAAATTGTAATATAATGATCTGCTTGCCCAGCCTGCCAAGATGAGGGGCTGGGGCATGGCGTTAACACTGTCTGACACAGCCAGCCAATCTGATGTCTGACATTTTCCTGGTGGGCTAATAAAGGGAAGGCTTCCAGGAGCTTATTGGAAAACACCTCTATCCAGACAGGGTGAGAAAGAGGACCAACCTGAGCCAACACCTTACTTTTGGCTCCCCCCTCCTTCCTTACAAGAGTCTTCTGGACCCTTTTCCTCCCTTCAAAACGGACATCCCAATCCATCAGCAACAGAGACCAGAGGAGTCATGCCCTTGGGTTGGGAGTGGTTCCATCTCCCACCCAGAGAGGACCAACATTCCATCCTGAGCTTGCATACAGACTGGGAGGTCCAGAGTTGTCTGGGAGGGGAAAGCCAGTGCACATCCCTTCTGTTTGTAAGGGCTCCACGGGGGCTCAGCCCCCTATGGCTACTGTACTTAAATCATCTCAGTCCCCTATTGTTAGCCAGCAGTCCTGGCCCCAACCTCCAGGCCATGGACCAGCTGGGCCCACATCCTACCCTGGTCCCAGCGTCTGGAGAAATTTGTTTCTGGAATGTCACTGGGCCTACTGATGACCCGTAGGAATTCTGGCTAATAATTTACAGTTCCCACACACTCGTGGCCTAAGGAAAGGAAGTGGAGTGGTGCTGAACCCTTCCTTACCGAAGGGTTGCGCACAGAGAAGGGTTCAGCCTGGGTGTATGTGGGGGAAATAGGCTCCCTAGCAAGGGAGCCTGTAAGTATTGCAACCCGAGCTCCCCTCCTGATTGCCCTGTTGATTCTACTGGCTTCCCCTGCCCCCACCCCTCCTCCTCCCTCTGCCATTATCACCGGCTTGGCTTCCCTGGCCTGCGTGTTTCGGGAACCTTTGGGTTCCAACACAGTAGATACTTGGAATCCAGACAGGTGCCCCTGAGTTAGAAATGGAAGCTCGGAGGAAGTTGGGTTGCTTGGGAAGGGGAGTGTCTAAGGCGATGGGGGGCGGGAGGGACGGACGGTCGCAGTAGCTAGCACCGCGGGGAGCCCGCCTTTGCCGGCGGCAGCTGTGAGCTCCCTGCTACATGCCGCCCTCTGGTGGCCTCCACGAGAATTTAGGCGTACGCCTACGGTTCTCACCTAGATGCAAGGAAAGTGGTTACCAGCGATCCCCAAACAGATTGGCACCAGGGAAGACAATTCATGGAAGACAATTTTTCCACTCATGTGGGGCCGGGGGAGGACTCGGTCGGAGATGCGAGCTATGGGGAGCGGCTGTAAATACAGCTCGCTCGCCCGCGGCTCACCTGCTGTGTGGCTGGGTTCTTAAGTTTCATGGAAGACAATTTTTCCACAGAAGGAGAGGGCCGGGGCGGAGCTCAGAAGGTGATGCGGGGCCCCGTTTCCTAAGAGGCCACGGACTGGTACCAGGCTGTGGCCTGGGGTTTGGGGACCGCAGAATCATACTACATGGATGAGTGTACTGGACCTGCGCAAACGAGCCTCTCCTGGCAGGGAAGAGGTGGTGGGCCGTGTTAACCTGCCAGCGCTGGGCAGGTGACCTTTTTTTTTTTTTGAGACAGAGTCTCACTTTGTTGCCCAGGCTAGAGTGAGTGCTATGGCGTCAGCCTAGTTCACAGCAACCTCAAACTCCTGTGCTTAAGCAATCCTGCTGCCTCAGCCTCCCGAGTAGCTGGGACTACAGGCATGTGCCACCATGCCCTGCTAATTTTTTCTCTCTATATTAGTTGGCCAATCAATTTCTTTTCTATTTATAGTAGAGACACGGTCTCGCTCAGGCTGGTTTCAAACTCCTGACCTCGAGCAATCCGCCCGCCTCGCCCTCCCAGAGTGCTAGGATTACAGGCGTGAGCAGGTGACCTTTTTATTGCCCAGAATCTGGTCTTTCTTTTATTCCTTCCTTTCTTCCAGCAGTATTTACTGAACATCTACAGTGTAGCTCTGTATTAGGCACTGAAAAACACAAAAGGTTAAGAAACAGCTTCTTTCCTGGAGAAGTAGATATAAATGCATAAAATAGGTAACAGCCAAAGCAACATTGTTACTCAATTGGGATGAGTTGAACTGGCAGTAAATGCCATATTAGTACAGAGAAGGCCTTGTGGAGGAAGGAGGGCCTGACTAGGATGTTGAAGCATGTGTAGGCAGAGGAGGCTGGAAAGGGCATTCCAGGCAGAAGGAACATCATGAGCAAGAACTTGGAATCTGGGATGAAGATGTGCAGCCTATTTAGAGGAGGAGACTGGGGAGTGTAACAATACATAGCTAATGGTTAGTGAGAAGTTAATATTAATATATGCCAGGCCCAGTTCTGGCACGTTGGAGGCATTCATTTAATCCTCACAATAACCCTCTGAGATGGTATTATAGATGGGGAGACTGAGGGAACGAGAGGCTTAAGTCACTTGCCCAAGGTATCACAGCTGGTAAGTAAGGAAATGGAGCCAGAGTCATGAGAAATAAGACTGTTTTGATGGATGGGGGCCGCATCATGTGGGGTCTTAAGCTGTTTTTTGATTTTACTCAGTCCTTTCATTGAGTCACTACAAAGTCCTCCTAGCTTTCTGACAGTTATTTCTCTCCCATTTTCATTGGCTCTTCTTCCTTCTAACTGGACAGCTGGCCTTCCTAACTGAAGCTGTCTAGCCATCGGGTTAAGGAAATACATATATTGGTACAGGTTTCTGGCAGGAAGCCATGGCAGGCTAGTACACCAATGCAGAAAACATAAGAAGATACTTAGCTTTTTTTTTTTTTTTTCTTTAGCTTTCTGGGTGCATGTTAAACTTAGCTCTTTTTGCACTAGAGAAGGAGAGGGGAAATGGAGCTTTGTTATAGACCAAATGTTTGTGTTCCTCCTCCCCCGTTCATATATTGAAGCCTAACCTCCAGGGTGGCTGTATTTGAAGATGGAACCTCTAAGGAAGTAATTTAGGTTAAATGAGGTCATTAAGGGTAAGGCCCTGATCCTATAGGATTAGTGCCCTTATAAGAAGAGACACCAGAGTGCTCATGCTCTACTCCCCACCCCTGGACATGCACTGAGGAAAGGCTATATGAGAACATACGGGCTGTCTCTAAGACAGAAAGAGAACTTTCACCAGAAGCCAAATCAGCTGGAACCTTGATCTTGGACTTTTAGCCTCTGGAACTGTGAGAAAATTAATTTCTATTGTTGAAACCACCCAATCTGTGGTATTTTGTTATGGCAGCCCTAGCAGACTGATACAAACTTCCAGAAATGTTTGAAGTAGGAAGAGGCGAATGCTAAGACCTTAGTGAAAATTATCAGCTCTTCTTGAAAAATGAGCATTTCTGACCTAGAAACTTGACATGTTTATTTTTGATTGTGCTTTTGTGGTCTGTGCTACATTGGAGGAAGCTTTCTTCTCTGGCTGGGAGATTGAGACAGCTGCCATGGGAAAGAAAGTTAGTTGAGGTCTATTTCCCTATGAGGGATTTTGTGGCCAATTAGCATATTCAACCCTGCTCCCTGTTGTCTCTGTAGGTGACTTGTTTGATTTATACAAATGACTATCTCTTTGACAGGGGGTTATCTTCCATTCAGTAAGGTTTACTGAGTGCCTACTGTATATCAAGCATTGTGCTGTGTGGTGGAGACAGGACAATAAAGGCTGGCATGGACACAATTCCTTCCCTTCATGGCACCTTACAATTCATCTGGCAAGACAAGCAAAAGTGATACAGGGGTCCTCAAACTTTTTAAACAGGGGGCCAGTTCACTGTCCCTCAGACCGTTGGAGAGTGTGCACTGTGGGCCCAGAATGAGTCGGTGCTAAGCAGGACAGGCAGCTGCGGCAAAAACACCCGGAGGGCCAGATAAATGTGCTAGGGGGCCCGCATGTGGCCCATGGGCCGTAGTTTGAGCATGCCTGGATTAGAAGGTTGTGGAGTATGGTCAAAGAGATGAGAAGGACACTTGTGCTGAGACCTGGAAGATGGGTATGAGTTGTCCAAACAGACGAAAAAGCACAAGCGAAGGCCTGGGCTTGGGGAGCAAGAGTAAGATGCATCTGAGGAGCATCAACAAGTTCAATGTAGCCAGAGAAAGATGTGACCTGCTTTAGGGATTTTGAATTTTGTCCTAAAGATGAAAAGCAATTGTAGGATTTGAAACAGAGGAATAATCCTACCGAGAGGAATAATCAAACTTGGATTTTAAAAAAGGAATTGACAATTGGACAGGGCTTTTTAGATAGCGTTTATCCTTATCCCTATGTAGATTGGTCCTCATTTGAGCATCTGAGTGTTCATGATGTAGTTTTTTTTTTTTTTTTTTTTTTTTGGAGACAGAGTCTCACTTTATTGCCCAGGCTAGAGTGAGTGCCGTGGCGTCAGCCTGGCTCACAGCAACCTCAATCTCCTGGGCTCAGTGATCCTACTGCCTCAGCCTCCCGAGTAGCTGGGACTACAGGCATGCACCACCATGCCCGGCTAATTTTTTTGTATATATATTTTTAGTTGGTCAATTAATTTCTTTTTATTTTTGGTAGAGACGGGGTCTCGCTCAGGCTGGTTTTGAACTCCTGACCTTGAGCGATCCGCCTGGCTCGGCCTCCCAAAGTGCTAGGATTACAGGCGTGAGCCACCGCGCCCGGCCCATGATGTAGTTTTAATCACAAGTAGGAAAGAAATGCTCCCACTCCCACACAGAGCATCCTGTGGGAGCAGATAGTGGGGGGCAGTGTAGGGAAATTGGAGCAGGATAGGAACAGAGTTGAAGGTGATACTTCCAGCCTGAGGTTTGCTTCTTTCAGAAACCTACACCTAAAGTGTCTCTCAACTTCTCTTCTTGGGACCACATAACCTAAGAACACAGTTGTCTTATTTCAAACCACATGGTGTCCAAACAGAAGTCCTTGGAACTAAGGACTCTTTCTCTGCTATTCTCTTTTGCTTTCCAGTGATCCCTTTAGCGGAGCCTTGGCTTAGCTTGGAGCTGATGGCCACAAGCTGAGACAGAGCTGTCACCCTGAGAGCCAGGCCTGAGCAGAGCATTGCAGCTGCCCAGGGAACAGCTGGTTAAGCCCTCAGCAGCTGCAGCAGCTGGGATTCCACCCAACATTTGAGCTGGGATTAATCCATTTCCTCCAT